AAGACAAGAAATATATCCAGGCATAGAGAAGCTGTTCTGAGATCACTCTGAAAGTGATCCCAACGATATTGTTCATAGCTATTATCGTTTAATTGTGATAAAATACCCTGGACAGGTCACCAGTCTATCACAGGGCTACACTTAGAGACAGACAACCAAGCACACTCACATTCACTTACGGACAATTTAGAATCACCAGAAATTGATATATTTAGGTGAAATTAAATTTTTATAGTTTATTCTCATTTTAATAAGAAAAAGCAATGAGTAATAACTACAACAGAAATTAGGCCTTGCTTGTACAATAAGTGTATGGCTCTTAGAGAGAGCTTATAACATGTTAGTGTATTTATGGTAAATGAGAGGAGTAACTATATAAATATGTAATACATGGAGCTGGAGTACACAGTTCCTGCTCCAGTGTTTACAGAATACTAACGTTTGTCAGTGTGGGTGCACACATCTTTATAGTGATCTCTATAGTTGTTAGTGTGGACAGGAAGTGAAGTGCGAGCAAGACTTGCAGCCCAGCTATCTGCTCCTGAAGAGCTTCCTGCATGCCTTGATGAACACGACTACATCTAGACAGTAAACTCCCCAAATGTAGTCATGTTCACTAGCATTATGTAAATATGTGTACATAGATAGATAGATGGATAGATAGATGTGTGTCAATATGCTACTCATCTGTTGCAATACTGTTTTTTCTTAATAATATCTATTTCTTAATCATATGACTGTAAAATAATTGTATGTGACTGTAAAATATAGGACTTTGAATTTTTCTGTTTGTTTTATAACCAATACACTGTTGCTTTAAAGAACAAACTGTCTGGGTTGAATTTTAAAACTCTTTTTTAAAACTTTTCTGAGAATGCATTCTGGGATACTTGGCTGTCGGAAGTCCACACAAGTCCGGTCTGATGCAGACTTGATAATGTGGGCAGAGCAAGAACACATCCGGGCATTTCATTCGTACTTGGTCAGATGCGTTCTTAGAATTGGGACAGTACTTGGTCTCAGAGTGATGACGTTTCACAAGTCTGCAAGAACGCAAGTACGGACAAGTACGCATATTGAGACACGGCTTATGTTTCTTCATTTGACAGAAATGTCTGCATTTTACCGTTACTTCTTAACCATTTCATAAGTAAACATTTTGTGGAATGGTCTTGATGAAACAATTAAACAAAGTGTGAATATAATGCAATTAAAAAAAAAAAAATGTACAAAAGATATATCTTTAAAAAGTACAGAAATGAGAAAGGAAAATGTAACGATGTTAATGGTGCTTGTTCGTTTTCTTGTGTGTTTTGTTTTGTTCTGTTTCCTTAAATAGCTCGATTGGAGTAGTTTTTTTTGTATTGCCTGTTTAGTTTATTGTATTGGATTTTGCATTTATTAATGGTGAAGAATGGGGGTAGGACTCGACAAGCCTAGGCTTCTTCCTGTCCCTTTTTGAACGAGTCAAATGTGTATTATATTGAAGTTGGCTTTTATTTTTTATTTTTCTTTTCCATTTTTTAACTTGTTTGTTCGTAATGCCAATTATGGTTGAGGAAATGCAACCCCAGAACTGGTTGAAATATATACACATACTGTCAGTAATTTAAATGTGTGATAACATAAAAATTCTGTTGCAACAAAACAGTCCTGCTTATTAGCAACAGACAAATAAACAGACACAGACAACTACGGCACATTCTTAAATTCATACCTTCTCATGGATCAGTTTTCTCATGCAATGCTTTCAATCAATACAACTAAACGCATTTTCTCATAAGCTGGCATATTTTTGGTTCCAAATGTATGACATATGTCCTTCTTTTTATATTTGAAAAAAAAAAATCTTAGAAAAAAAATAACAAAAAAACATTACCTGTTACCTAAACCAAATGGCCTGGGGTCCAAAAGACCTGGATATATTTTAATTATTAGTGGCTGTCACCATTGTTTTTACATATCTATGTATGTAAACTGTAATTTTTTATTCATAGTTGTATTTTTAAATATTTGTTCTTTGTTGGTACTATTTTTATTGTATGATAATAAAACTGTATGTATTTTTATTTATTTTTTGTAATGTTTGTTCATTTTGCATTACTTTGTTATTTCTATTTCTGGCAGTCNCGAGCAGCCTTATGTCGGCAAGATTTTCTGAAATGTGCTAAATTAAATGTCACTTTAAAAGAAAAAAAAGAAAAAATATAGAGAGAAAGAAGGAAAAACAGAAAAAGCAGCTTGAAATTAAACGTCACTTTAAAAGCAACAAAAAAAAAAGAAAAGATAAAAGAACAAAAAAATGATGTAAAAAAAAATTAAAATTAAACAAAGATTTTTTAAAAGATTAAAAAAAATACATTAAAAAAATATCTTTATATATAATTAAATTAGTATGAAATTCATTCTTCTTTTTATTTCCATTTTTTTTTCCTTTCATTGATTTATTTTTGTAATTTGGCACTCTCACTACTCCATAAAAACAACAGGCATGAAGCAGTAAAGATCAGAGACAGAGCTGCTGTCGAAACACAAAACACTTTGATTGGCTGAACTGAACTGAAAAAATGATGTCGAGAGGTAATGGCCCCGCCCACTGAACTTCAGCTCATCCACTGACAATATTGCTTAATCATTGTAGTGCAGCTGAAGAACATTGTTCATCTGCTGTGTGTCTGACTTTAATAACTCCAAAGACATGTTGCTTTACCTCTTTCTGTTTTCATCTCTCATTTTAGGTGAGTTTAAGATCAGGGATCAAAGTCTGCTTTGACGTGCTGAATTAACCAGATATAGAAAATATATTTTACTATTTTACCGCTTTGTTGCTCTGAGAGAATGAAAACTATGCTTGGATCATCTTTGAGTTTTACTGACAGAGTTACACATTTGATTTCATTGTGAATGTCCACAGAGTAACACTGTACAGGTGATATTTTCCACTGTCTTCTCCTCTCAGCCTCATGGACAATGTGAGTCTGATGGCTTCATTTTCTCTACTTTTTCCAGGACTAATAGCTGAAACCACAATCTCTCCTGTACAAGATGAAGTCAGTAGAACAGAAGGACAATCGGTCACACTCAGATGCAACTATGAGACAACCAGTGATTATGCAAACCTTTACTGGTACAAACATCATTCTTACCTTCAGGCTCCTCAGTTTATACTTTGGAAAGCAGGAAAAGGATACACAGCTGAAAATATTCCTGATAAACGTAAATATGGATCCCAAACATCAGACACATCAACTACATTGACCATCAGAGAGCTAACCCTGGCAGACACAGCTCTCTACTACTGTGCTGTAGA